ACTTTCATCTTCCTGTTCTACTTGAGCTAAGATACGTATGAGCCTGTGGCGCAAATCCACAAGAGAAGCATTGTCAACCTCCAATCGAGCAAGTCTATCGATTAGATAATTAGCCCTAACTGACACACGTAAGTGAAGATTACTGTCCTTTCCGAGGTCACCTGATGACAGCAGATCCTCTAGCTCAGCAATTTTCGGCGTACATGCCTTGAGCTCGCTTGCCGGGAGTGGTGTGATCACTGGAGCACACTTGATGCTGCCACGTCTCTTCAGCTTGAAAATTTGGCGAAGCTGCTTTCTCAGTGCATCCACCGATGTGTCAGGAGCTGTGGAAATGCCAAGAATATCCAATTCATATATGATTTCATCCTTTCTTAAGTAGTTTACATATTTTTGTATAGAGAGCATTTTCTCAGATTTTTTCAAGTTAAAGTCAGTTATTTCTGTTACTAAGTTAATTATTAAGTTAATTATTAAATTACGTTTAATCAAGTTTTTAAATCAAGCTACTTATTCAAGTTATTTAATCTAAGAAAGTTAAATACAAAGGAATTTATAAAAATTTTTTTTTTTTTTTTGAAGGAGGGTACTTTTATTATTACAAGTTTCAATTCTTAAAGACTATCTTGTTCACTGTTCAAGGTCAATTTTTTACGCATCCAATCAATACGAAGGTGTTATTGTAGTATAAGTTGATTAATTCTAATGTGCTAAGTTAATTAATGCTAGTGTGTTTTTCAGACTGGTTGGGGATTTAAGCATCTATGTTTCCACCTACCTTTTTTATCATCATTTAGACACACTAGTATTCCAAAAGTATTGTTTATTAAAGTTTTTTAAGTTATTAAGTAATTTACTTCTAATGTGCTATTCAGACTGATTGGGGATTTTAAGCATTAAATTTTTCCACCAATCTTTTTATCATCATATTAACACATTAGTACAAATTCTGAATATTAATGATTTTTAAGTTAAATTTTTTTTTGATTAGATGTTAAATTCTAGTGTGCCGTTCAGACTGATTGGGGATTTAAGCATTTATTTTTCCGCCAACCTTTTTATCATCATATCAGCACACCAGTATTTCCCTCAAATACAGTATTTTATTGCTCGGCCCTAAAGTTGGTCGCCATTTTGTAACAATTTTAGTTACCACCGACTATTTCAGGGCGTACATGAGACTCGAAACTTATTTAATTTAAAATCAGGGCGCCGTGATACTGTGATTTGAGGGAGATAAATGAAAATGTCTAAAACAGCAGTGAACAAGATATTATATTGTTAAAAAGATTCAGATTTTATTTCATCATGGTTAAAACTTAATACTAGTCACATTCAAGTTAAAAATACATAGTTATATTTCTTCAAAGATTTTTTTTTTGATTTAAAGCTATTCAAACATTCAAGATCATGTGCTAATACAGTAATACTCAATTTAAGTTTCTTATATAAACAAATTATTAAGCAAGTTATAAAATATTAAATTTTGAAAATCTAACAATAAAAATTTGTTATGTACTTATAATGGCTTTATAGTTTACTAATAGAAATCCTTTATCACGTTAAACAGAAATTGTTATCCGGAGTATGCACTGGTTCAATATCAAGAAGTTATAAGTTTTACTTAGCTTGGCAAGATCATGGGAGCATCAGGATCACTCAAATGTCCTCAGGGATGAAGCAGGACTTGCTGTCATCACGTGAACCCGTCACTTTTTTTGCTCAAGGAAGCTTCACAGGCTCATATATATATATATTTCCAAGGAGATTCCAATCAGGATTAAGTAAATGTGACTATTACTGTTATTTATTAGCCAAATTAATGGACCTAGAACCAATTACATATTTTTCTTTAATTCAATAAAAGAACTAACTGGACCTACAGCCTAACGAATCAAATGTATTGAACTTACCCGTTAATCCGGGGAGAAATAACAAGTATATACTGCACTGACTACCACTGCTAGTCTTAATGCTATTTTCTAAGTATGGTCTTCAAGGTTCTATCAGCCAAAAGAGAGCGAATCTGTTTGTGCACTGCTATTTATAGGCTACTACAACACGTGACAGCGTCATTGCAAATTTCTCTCATATTACCATATTTGGTATGAGGAAGCACACGGACCGGTTTTGCTGACTCCGCCTTTCAATGTTTCCAGAACATTAATGTGACGTCACATCCATTTCCGCATCTCATTAAAAAAATTACACACTAGCTCCCTCTAACTTACATTCCAAATGCAACTACTAGGTTCACACATATATTGTACTTGTCCTTTGCTTTTCAAAGTGGATTTCGATATTGAATAATTTATATGCATGATGATAGATGGCGCTGAATAAATAATAATATTTCTACGACTTAATATTTAAGAATTATATTGCTAAGTTTTTAACGTTATTAAATTTAATTGCTACACACTAGCCTCCATTAATGACTGTATCACAAAATGGCTAGTTAATATTTCGTCTAGATCTTTGATTGATTACATCGCATAAATGGCTAGATCGAAAAATGACTAGATCTTTATATGACCACAACGCATAATGAATAGGTTGCAAAATGACTAGAAAGGTTCATTGATCAAATACACCAGTACAGTTAAGTGTAAAATCTATATCTATCGGATGGGTGACCAAAAAACTGGTCTGGTTTAATGAAACTACAATGGAAGTGAAACTTTTTATATCTTATGTTAGTTACCATACACCTCCGAAACGGCTTGACCGATTTTTATGAAATTTTATATGCACATTCAGTGGGTCTGAGAATCGGCTACTATCTATTTTTCATATCCTTAAGTGATAATGGTTGTCCGCCTGTAAAGTAGTGTTCTGAAACCTACAATGCGCCTTCGCGCCAAAATTCAAAGTATTAGGTATTATAACGTAGTGTTCTCATATGGGTTAGGAGGAATGTTATCCTGGGAAATTGATAAAACACTACGTTACACACCCCAAAAATTTTTTTCGGACAATATTTTTTTTTTTAATATGTGGTATTAAAAATACATACAACCCTAAATTTTCTCTTCTACCACCAGCCCCTATTTTTATGGCGGTACGAAGTTCGCTGGGTCAGCTAGTAATTAATAAAAAGAAGCCCACCAGCGACGCTTGTTGATTAGGTTTGAATTTCAATCAAAAATGTAATGTTACATAGTAAAGGTGACTGAAAAAAAATTGCGGCGAATGCAATTAAAGTTTTACTTTAAAAAGATTATTAAAGTTAAATCGCTCCTCCGTGCTTTGCAAGGCAAAATCCAACTCATTTATTCAGTCTAGGCTGTTACAAGCTCTTGTGAAAGTCAAACGCTACGCCATCGGTTCGTAAATCTACGGCGGGAGACCTTGTACTGAGAAGAACCGGCAAGAAACCCAGTAAAGGCTATTTTTTTCTCCCTGTTTTGTTTCATATAGAGTCGTCAGTTGAAAGATGACCTCAAAAATTGAAAACATGTGTTGATGTCAACTTACCTAACATTAATATTATTAATTAACAAACAATTTTTAACCTAATTAGCAAAGTAAAACGACTTAGTTTATTATATTAAGCCCAAGGTGCCTTAAGCCATTAAGCCTTTGGTGCTGGCCACGTCTACAGTCGTTAGCGCACTCATACTTATCCGCATTGGGCCCGCGTAGTGAGTCATGACTCAATCAGGAGATTGAATAAAAGAATACGGATGAAATAAGGATATTCCATCCACAGGGAAGACAGGTGCCAGGTTAAAATCTATATATATAAAACTCAACTCAAAGGTGACTGACATAGTGATCTATCATCGCACAGCCCAAACCACAAGGTAGATGTTATGACGTAGGCATCCGTTAAGAAAGGATTTCGATCAATTCTACCCCCAAGGGTATAAAATAGGGAATGAAACTTTGTCAATTTTAAACCGATCGGGCTGAGTCTTTGCATGCAGGTATAAGATGAATCATAGATGAATCTCTACATGTCTGAGATCATATCTGAGAACAAAAACTGTGGTCTACACTTCAGCTCTACACCGAAGCGAAGCGAGGCCGGGCCACTAGTTAGTAATAAAGTACTAGAAAATATTCAACTGTGTAAAGCTTTGACATCTTTTTTGTATTGTTTTAGACAAAAGGACTTGCAGTTATATGCACTCAATACGTTTATTTAAGATGAGCTCGATGGCTCGGGTGGTTAGCGCGTTCGGCTGCGATCGTTGAAGTTAAGCAACTTTCGCAGTGGTCGGTCACTGGATGGGTGACCAAAAACCTACTATCTCGAGTTCCTTTGAGCTACGGAAGGCACGTTAAGCCGTTGGTCCCAGCTGCATCCGCCAATCCGCACTGGGCCGGCTTGGTGGGTCATGACCCAATCTCCCTATTCCATCCGTTGGAAAGGCCTGTGCTCAAGCAGTGGGGATATTAATAGGCCGATAATGATGTTTATCGAACTTTTTTCGAAACCGTTGTAAATTCGAGTGCATGAGAATTGCCCCCCAGGGAACCAAAAATACGCGAAATTTTGGGGCTGGTCTCCTACTGGTACATCTACTGTTAGCAATGGAGTATTTTCAGCATATAATATAAACCATTGAATAAAGCATAGCGGAAGATTATGAGTAAAAATTTTAATAAACTAAATTAATAAAAAGTATATGCCTGGTCAGCGTGGATTTTTTTTGTTATATTTTCTTTAGATTTAAACTACTAGCAGTTACATGCTTAAAAAAATTATAACTATAATTGCTATTTCTTCTTTCAAATGTTTAATACTTGTAAAAGTATTCATTTGACATTGTGGGTTACCTACAATTTGAAGATATGACGCTGCCTTGCAGCTTAACAATGGCTAGAAGAATTTCGACGCGGCCCTCAGGGCCGCGGTAAGTGGTCCGCGTGGATTTTTTTCTAGTTATATTTTCTTTAAATTAAAACATCAAGCAGTTACATGCTTAAAAATATATATATATAAAAAGTATGTTGCCAAAATAAATAAAATTAAATAAAAACATTGACGTTACCTTGTCCAAGGCGCAAAACTGCTAGTATGGTGAACGTTAGAAACAGATTTCCTATGGCGAGTGCGAACAACAAACAGACCAGGGTCCAAAACGCGAATGTCTTTCTTCCTTTATGCACGGTTTTCGTAACATCATTCCCATTCTTGTCAGAGTAGTTTTTAACATTTCCACACGATTTATTGTAAAAGACTTGACTCTGCGTCGGTGTTTTTGTTATAAGCGCTTTCTCCGCGCGGTTTCTTTCGAGTGTGCCTTCCGACATAGCTTCCGAAGCTGGCGAAACACCGCGCAATCCGCTCAACATAATCAAAGTCGGTTTATTTGCGTTTTCGACTCAAGATCTATAAAATTAAAAATAGCCCAAATATTTCCCCAACTTTGACAACTCAAATTATTGAGCGAATATCCTGCAACGTCATTGGTGGAACATTGCACCAATGAAGACGAGCTTATTCCGACACGGAAGTGACGACTCAAATTAAGCTATGAATGCATTGTACTTTTTTGATCGGTATTGCGTAGAAATTGTAACTCTATGGTTTGAGGAATGTTTCCGAACGCAAGTTTTTGATATTAAAAAACAACATGACAAGTAAGACAGTGTTTCCACAATGAGGGGAAATTCCCCTTTTAAGGGGAAATTAGGGTCCAGAGGGGAAGAAAAAGGGGAAAGACATGAAAAGGGATAATTGTGGGAAATTATGGGTAAAGCCTAGCCTAAAATAATGCGGCACGGAACAAATTTTTTATGGCCTATACCGTGGACTAGAGTCTTGCCGTATAAAATTAACTGTGGCAACACGTGCAGATTTTATATATTTTATTTATCTGTTATAGAATAAGATACACTTAGACCTTTTTTTCTTTAGTTACTACACTAGTGCCAAATCTAAAAACTGCAGTAGAATTATTTTTGAGGGGAAAAATGTCCTAAAAAGGGGAAATCTGAATTGAGGCGTGGGGAAAGGAAATCATTAAAGTGGAAACACTGAAGTAAGAACTTTTGACAATTTGCTTTGTAATCATGGCGTCAGAACGGTATAGTTTTTCCCTTACAACTTTCAGGTAATATTAATTTAAATACTGCTATTTTAGTAATTATTTCTATTTGGTATACAAAACTGAGCAATACTTATTTGTTTCAAGTTATTAAATGCTTGTTCACTGCTATGACTTAGCGGTAAAGTTATCTTTTACATTCTAACTTCAAAAATGTATTGAACTCCTCATAATCTCTTGTTATTTACAGTCCGTCAGGAAAATTAGTGCAAATCGAATATGCTTTAGCCGCTGTGGCCGCCGGAGGCACCTCCGTTGGCATTAAAGGTAAGTTTCTTGAAGCAAAGTTTGAGGTTAGTCGAATAGTTTACATGAATTGCATTTTTAAATAATTTCACAAACTTATCACTTTATAATAATAATCAATGTCTTAATTGTATATTAAGGTCATAATTCAAGCCAGTTATTTTTCTTTAATACGTATTATTTCTTATACTTACTCAATACTGTTATAATATTTTATTACAGCTTCCAATGGGGTTGTTATCGCCACTGAGAACAAGCACAAGAGTATTTTGTATGATGAGCACAGTGTGAACAAAGTCGAAATGATCACAGGACATATAGGTGAGATTTCCTACAACTTTGCTACATTATATAAATTAAATGAACAGGTTGTTCATGCACTTAGATTAAAACAAAAAGGGATGATTCTACACTCGCGGCTCAAAAATGATCCGCTTAAATTGTGGTGCATGACCACAATATTGTCCGACCAAAATAAACAGCGTCTGGCTTTTGTTGGACTTTTTACCCAAATGTCTGGTCAAACTGGCTGGTCTGGCCGGATATTAGGTTTGGGGACCTAACAACCCTATGTATAAACCTGCTTTAGCTAGTGTAGATTTGCCATTTATTGGGTGTTAAATGTTAGTATATAATGATGATTTGTCATACCGACACTTAACTTGGCTTCTTCTTTTATGATGGCTTGCATTCTGACTTATCACAGCTCCGCCAATGTCAAGTGATCAATCTGTCCTTATTATGCTTTATAAGGCACGAAAAGAGCAGACTAATGTCAAGTTTTTAAATAGCAAACATGAATTACACGGAAGTGCTAGCATCAGGCTTACACAATTTCTGAAATATGCCCTGTATCTTGATGTATCTGCGAGCTGCTGTATGGGAAAGTTATTTCACTTGGTGTTAAGTGTAAGTGGAGTAGACAATAAGATGATGTGTCCAGAAAATATCTTAATCAATAGGGTTGATCCCTGCATTTACGAATGCAATTGGCCTTTAGGTGCTTTTTTATTATAGTAGACCTGACTGGCAAATTCACTGAAAACTGCTAAATAAAGTATAATTCAATATTCATAATTAATTACAGTTCACTGATAAAGTGTTGAAATAGAAACCTTAATAAGCACATTAATTACAGCTCTATATTTTGTTATTTATTGGACAATAGGCATGGTGTATTCCGGCATGGGCCCCGATTACCGTCTTCTAGTCACTCAGGCCCGCAAGATGGCGCAGCAGTATTATCTGATGTACCACGAACCGATACCCACGGCTCAGCTCGTGCAACGAGTAGCGACGGTCATGCAAGAGTACACACAGTCTGGGTAAGCAAGGAAAATAACAAAATAGTAAGCAGCTATAAAGATAGTTCCTGTCATCGCCGATAATTGTTACCTAAACAGAAGGCTATAGATTATGACAACACATTGCTTACTGCTTGAAACTGCTTGAGAATGTCTGTAAACGTAATGTCCATGTCCAAAGGACACACTGTTCCGAGTGGCTGTGAAGTAGTTTGTGGTGCAATCCCAAAAGATATTATATAATTATAATATAATTAAAATAAATAATAACAACATTTATGTGACACTAGCGGGTTTGCTAGGGATATTTTCCTGCAGTAAAACGTGGTCTATGTGTATCAGCTAACTTCATGCCAATTTTTTTTAAATCGCTCCAGTCGTTTAGACGTGAAGAAGTAATAAACATACACACTTACAAACTTTTCACTTTATAATATTAGTTTGATATTATAATTTTTTTAGATTTAAACATTTATGTGCTCAAATAGTGTACAAACTTTCAATAGTCTTGGTTTTAATTAATATCTGATGTTGTTTTGGTTGCATTTCAAATAATTATAATTTTTTGTTGTTCAGTCCTCTTGATCTTTAAATTGTCCAGAAAGGTGCAATACTGTGAAATTGTGAACAGTAACTCTAGCATGAATCAATATTGAATTCAAATAGTTTGCGAGTGCGAAATGTCAATTTCACATTTTGTATGGAAACTCAAACAGCAGCACCACAACGGACGTAACGAGAACTTAATTATTAGTACACATTTGATAATGACATTTCACACTCTCAAACTATTCGAATTTGATATTGGTTCATGCTAAGGGTACAGGAAATGTTGCTGTAATAAAATGTATAGTTTAAACTGAATAATTTTATTGTTTTCTTAACAGCGGTGTCCGTCCATTCGGTGTATCCCTATTGATCTGCGGTTGGGACGGTGATCGACCCTACCTGTTCCAGTGTGACCCGTCCGGTGCTTACTTCGCTTGGAAGGCAACCGCTATGGGCAAGAATTTCAACAATGGAAAGACATTCCTCGAGAAAAGGTAAATAAATTCTTTTTTTTATGGTTTATTACAATTCTATAATAGCTTAAGCACAAATGGTATTTATTAATTATATAATAGTACATAGCATGCCACTATTAGAGTGGATTGGAGAAGTTGAGAAGTGAAGAGTAATTTAAAAAAATGAACCATGGTAAATCTAAATCCTTATTCCCTTAGTCAAGCCATAAATTATGGACTTTAACACCACTTAACATCAGGTGGGGTAGAGTCATTTGCCTACCTGACTATATAAAAAAATGGGTGCGTGTACTTATGTAGGCGCGTGAGAAGAGTATCCTTCTTTGGCATCGTTTAAAATTTCATTTCATTTGATTTCATTTCATTTCAAATCTGCCCTGTTTGCTTTGTTCAAATCTGCCCCACGGTCACTTGGAAAATAAAATATTACAAATAACGCGCCCGCGGCTAACTTCATTATGTTAAAATTTTGTGTTACAGTGATGAAAATTTCACTCTCATAATTTTTTCATAACGCGGCTAACGAAGTATAACTTCAAAAAGAAAATAATAATTTGAAAACGTCTTTAGCAATTTGATTGTTTGTGAAAATTAAGCAGTGGTAGTAGTGTTTGGATGGGTGACCGAAAATTATTTATCTCTTCCTCCTCCATGGTTTAGAAAATCAGCAGAAACGTTAAGCCTTATGTCCTGACTGCATCTGTGTTATCACTCACTAATCTGGGTGGTGAGTCATGTGATAGCTCAGTTATTCCATCTATAGGAAAGGCCAGTTGGGACATTAGTAGGCTGATGAATTATTTTATTTATACTAAAGGCCTAATGAAACATGAATAGGCTTATGCATTATTCCATCTATAGGAAAGGCCAGTTGGGATATTAATAGGCTGATGAATTATTTTATTTATACTAAAGGCCTATTGAAACATGAATAGGCTTATGAATTATTCCATCTATAGGAAAGGCCTGTTGAGACATTAATAGGCTGATGAATTATTTTATTTATACTAAAGGCCTATTGAAACATGAATAGGCTTATGAATTATTCCATTTATAGGAAAGGCCTGTTGAGACATTAATAGGCTGATGTATTATTTTATTTATACTAAAGGCCTATTGAAACATGAATAGGCTTATGAATTATTCCATCTATAGGAAAGGCCTGTTGGGACATCAATAGGCTGATGAATTATTTTATTTATACTAAAAGCCTATTAAAACATGAATAGGCTTATGAATTATTCCATCTATAGGAAAGGCCTGTTGAGACATTAATAGGCTGATGAATTATTTTATTTATACTAAAGGCCTATTGAAACATGAATAGGCTTATGAATTATTCCATCTATAGGAAAGGCCTGTTGAGACATTAATAGGCTGATGAATTATTTTATTTATACTAAAGGCCTATTGAAACATGAATAGGCTTATGAATTATTCCATCTATAGGAAAGGCCTGTTGAGACATTAATAGACTCACATGAAAATTTCTATTCGCTATTTGTAAACTCATAATGTATGCATGCATGGCAAATAGTTAACATATGATGAAACTCGTGTTGTTCAGGTATACAGAAGACTTGGAGTTAGATGACGCTGTGCATACAGCGATTCTGACCCTCAAGGAAGGCTTCGAAGGACAGATGACAGCAGACAATATAGAGGTCGGCATATGCGACGCCGCCGGCTTTCGTCGCCTAGAGCCTGCGCACGTGAAGGATTATCTCGCCAACATACCGTAAATGATTTGTGAATATACAGCTGATGAGTTTTTAATAAATAAGCCTTTTTGTCTATGGGTTGTTTTATTTTGTGTTGGGGAGTTGGTGGAAATTTTGAAGTATGGTAGGTATCTTAAAGACGTAAATGAGTATTTTCCATACAAAATTTCATCCCCTTTTTCAGTCACTTAGTATAAAATTTTGGCGGGAAAAAGGAGTCTATAACCGTCTCCAGGATCTCAACTATCTCTATAGCAAAATTCATCACACTCAGTTCAGCAGCAGTTCCAAGTGTGAAAGCGCAACAAGTAACAAACTGCTTTTTAATATTACATAGGACATTATAGTAATTGAAATACGATTTTTTATTGGATGGCTTTGCCCACACTTTTTTACGTTAAAAAGGTAGCAAGCAAACATGGTGCGCCTGAAGGTAATCGGCTACCATATGGATGATGACTAATTTTTATTTCTTCGTTTGTCAGGTAGATTATCAAAAAGTATTGGACACGTATTTTTTCTTTTTTCACATAATATAAACATTGCATAGATATATATTAATTAAAAAGTCGCATGACGTCACGTTTGAGTACACTTATAAGTGAAAATTCACTCAAAAGTGACGTCACGCGCCCCTACTCCCAAACTTTGACGCGCTATAACGTTGTCATTTTTTGGTTGATTGCCCAAAGAAAAAATACGTGTCCATTATTTTTTGATCATCTAACTGACGGACATCCTGTTGCCTATAGGCGCTTGCGATACAAAAAATGTCACTCGCGCCATTGCTTTCCCTGATCCAAACCCTTACCTCGTAGAGCCCTAGAACCTTACCGATAGAATCAAAACACTGTTTAGTGTGTTCTTCTGTATGATAGAGGCTGTCCCACGGCTGTCCTCAGACGTACGCTCTAATTCGAGCGGGAAAACCGCTTCGCCGTACCTACCTAAAATGATTGGGTAGATACCCTTACAGCCAGTTTTAATAATAAAGTAAGAGATCCGCCAACTAGAACCTATTTGCCTGAATTTTTTTTAAACCAAAATAAGTGCCTTTTACTGAAGGTTGATTATATTAAAACTGACCTTTAATGTCTTAAGTTTAAGAGCAGTAGTGTCGATTCTCGCACGATTGTCTTAACTTGAAACTAAATTAAACATTACCTTAAACTTTTCATTCTGTATGGAGAATATCAAGAATACATTGGTGTCGATTCTGACATGATTCCCTAAACTTAAAACTTAAGTCTCCTTTTCAATCTGTAAAGAGAATGACAGGGATACACTGTTGTCAAATTATAGTTTAGAGAATCATGCCAGAATCGACACCAGTGTCCTTGTCCTACTTATAGAGAATAAAAAAAAGACTGCTGTCACATAGGCCATATACAGAAAGAAAGCCGAAAGCCGATCGGCGCTTATCGGCGCCGATCCTTCCTACATAAAGGAAGCCGATTAAAGCAGATCAAGCAAAATGTCGGACTCATCGGACGATGATTTGTTTTTGTTAGAAAATGTTTATTTAAAAATGCGAGAAACAGCTATACATCCTATAAATAGAGAAAGGAAACGTTTCGGAGAATACCATCATTTATTTGTAAAAAAAATTAAATATGATGAACAAAGATTTTATACATATACAAGAATGATTCAAGAAACATTTTATTACATTTTGGATTTAGTGAAAAACCGTTTGATGAAAAATTGGGGCAATTGGCATAAACAACCAATCCTTCCAGAAGAAAGACTGGTTGTCACCATTCGGTAAGTACGAAACAAATAATTTTAGCGCTTAGTTAATAAAAGATAAAGTTATTAGATTTATAAAAAGATTATAACTTAGATTGATTTAATCTAAGGATAATAATTCAAATACAAATTATTTATTATTCGGACCAGCGCGTGTCACGCGCTGGTCCGAATAATACGTACGTGAGAATTTTATTGTAGTGTTGACTACCTCACAGAAGCTTATCGAAAAAGCCAACTCGATACATTTCGTGCCAAACATTCCAAGAAACATTAGAATGCGTTACACCGACATTCTAATGTAAAAACAAAAAGAAGATAAATTTAAATAAAGATCAGGCTGTATGGGCATTGTTCCCTTTGCCTTCCCTAAAACGGGAAAACTTCAACAAAAAAAAAAGATTAAAAAACATGACATTGACAATTGGGTTTGGTTTGTATTTTTGTATCAAAACATAACCTAAAATGCAGTGTGATAGTGATTTTATAAAATAAAAGTTTTATTTTATATGGCTAATAGAAAAGTCGAGCATTTTTATTTGCTTAAAAATGTCAATAGATACATATTTTTGCTTTTGCTGCTTATCGACGAACGATCTCTCTTGTTTATACAGCAATGATACGACAACAAACTGTGGCAATCTATTGCAAACATTATTTAACGTTTCGGTAAGTTTATTTGTTTAATTCTTTTTTAATTTTAGTTATAACTATCTACAAAACAGACTGGAAACCATGAATATGCTTACTTTTTCTCCTATTATGATTTTGTGGGTACGTAACTGTTTTTTTTTCGATTTATTAAATTGACATTGCTAATCTCAGATTTCAGAACAAAAGGTAAATGGATGGAATAAAAAAGAGCGAGCCTTACAGTAGTCGTGTATGATGTGTAACATTTGAAACCTCACCTTATATTAGTAAAAAAAAAATGGTTGCCTGTAAAGTCGGTTTTACGGGCGAAGATTTTACGTGACAACGTCTTTTTCTCGGTAGAATATTTATTGATATGAATATAATTAAATTGCACAATAGGAACAAGGAATTGAATGAAAATAAGAATTGCACAAATTTTAACTATAGAAATATATTTTGTTTACTAAAACATTGTACATGTAAACTTAAACTTAACACGAGAGACTCATCGTAACGTTACCGAGCGTTACACTTTTTCATAAGTGACTCCCAGCCGCAACCTAATTTAAGACGTTGTCACGTCAAAAGAAAATAAAACCTACTACAAAAGGAATAAGCCATTTAAACATTATGTCCTAAAATCAAATCAAATAGCGCGCGCTTTCGCGACTTCCCGTTACACACTTCGGTCCCATTTTACGAAATCACTCCCAGAAATTGCAGGAAAGCGAGAGGAAAGACGTAACATATCAAAAAACTGGTGTTTTCGTAAACCCTGGTAACATTACACCCACACTATAACAGTTTAACGGTATGTATTCGTACAGCGTTGTCGCGCACACAAAGCTAGTTGCGAGCCGCACTTTGCTTGTACTGTACACTCCATCTGCCTTTTGTTCTGTAATCTGAGTTTCTAATGTTCTCGTCATCTTCACTTTGTCAAAACTTTGATTGCTGAGATCAAGATATGGACTTTGTGAAGGACATTTAAATATTCTAATTATGCAAATAGGATGACTAAACTGTGATCATTTTCAACTTTAATTTCTTTTACTCTTACATACTTAAATAATTAATATATTTCAGACATCTGTGATCCATATTTGTTAGTAGATTTAATCTATGTTATATGTTTTGTAGAAATAATAGATTAAGACAGTACTACATGAAAAAAAAAAATATAATAATTAAAATTAATTAAAATTAGCAGTAACATTGAATAAAACCTTTGCAATATGTTATATTTAATTGATCTTATAATAAATAAAAGGCTATATTTATCCAGTGAAATTTTATTTTTCTACAGATATCCTTAGAAGATTATGAATATGACGGATACATATGTAAAGACTGCGCACACAGTCTGATAAGCATCCAAAAGTTTAGAACACAAGTATTTGAAACTCTCAATATTCTCCAAAGTAATGGTTGTAAGTATTTTTGTGTTTATATTGCTCTACACTACGTTATTCTATAAATATAAATAGGAAAAACTTTAGTTGTCACCAACCTATAAGCGTCACCACATGGGGGGTCATAGGCCTTCCCTATGGATGAAATAGGGAGATTGGGTGTGTGCTAACGACTGCAGATGCAGCCAGAACCCACAGCTTTAAGTGCTTTCCGAAACATGGAGGAGCTGGCGATAGTAAAATTCTGGTCATCCATCCTAGGTATGACTATTGCAGAAGTTGTTTTCCCAAAAAAATAACGACAACTCGCTTACTATTGCTATGTAAAGCTTTCCATGAGTTTTTTTTGAAAGCTATTGTTAACGCCATCTATCCTTCGGCGAGAGAATCTACAATCGGTCCATCATCATCGTCCGTTAATACATTTATTTCGTACCCATTTGTTACTTCATTCACTCATTTTGATTTATATACATTCACTCTCCCTCTTGCAATTCGAATTCAAAAAAGACAATGTATGCACATAATTTCAATAAGATTTGTATTTTACTATGAATAATATTCTACAATCTGAATATCTGATTTTTTTATTGAGAAATCCACATAAAGAAGACGCTAAGCTATCAAACAGCTATTAATATTGTGTGAATGTTTTGCCTCACTGCAGACAGATTTGCGCTATTGGAGCAGAGATCAAACTGGAAAAAGTATTAAAACTAATCAGTATTTAAGAGGAAAGATTTGCAACATTATTTATTTAATAAAAAAACTTTATTGACCAATGCATTAAAATGGTACAAGAGGCGGACTTAATGCTAAAGCATTCTCTCTCTTCCAGTTAAGCTTTGGTAAAAATGATAATCATGCACAGTGGCATAAATCTATATAAATGTTTAATAACGTAGCTGCTGTGATCGATAGGGGAGGAGCTTGATGGTGCGGGTGGTCAACGTGTTCGGATGTGATTGATGAAATTAAGCAACTTTCGTAGTGGTTGGTAATTGGATGGGTGACCAAAAATCTTTCATCTCGAGTTCCTCCGTACATCGGTAGGCACGTTAAGCCGTTGGTCCCGGCTGCATCTGCAGTTGTTAGCACTTGCCAATCCACACTGGGCCCGCGTTGTGGTTTATGGCCCAATCTCCCTATTCCATCCAAAGGGAAGGCCTGTGCCCCACCAGTGGGGACATTAATAGGCTGATGATGATGATGAACTTATGTGAAACCTTTTCCTTTAACTGTTACAGTGATACAATTATTAAATGAAAATAATCAAGTGACCGTTACCAAGATAGTCAACGATGCTTTAACTTTGGCAGAGGAAAAATTTTCTATTGATGACCCTGCAAATCCTATGTTATTGATTGATGAGAAATTAGAAGGTTTGATTATTAAATTTTTAACTAGTAAAAATTCCACGCGGTCCAGGCAGCAGACGTGACTCGAACCCGCACCGTTCGCAATCCGGGCGAATGCACTGACCAATTATGCTACCGCGGTCCTCGCGGACCGCGTCAAAATTCCTCTAGCCATTCTTAAGATGCAAGGCAGCGCCATCTCTTCGCATTATAGTCAGTGCATTCGCCCGGATTGCGAAAGGTGCGGGTTCGAGTCCCGTCTGCCTGGTCCGCGTGGATTTTTTTCTAGTTATATTTTCTTTAGATTTAAACATCAAGCAGTTACATGCTTTAAAAAAATGGGTGCGTGTACTTATGTAGGCGCGTGAGAAGTTATCCTTCTTTGGCATCGTTTAAAATTAGTTTTTAATTGCATGCAAATAATTAATTACAATAAATTAATAAAAAGTCTGGAAAAGGACACAGTCAATAAAGTTCAGTTTTAATTTGAAAAAATAAATAAATAATCAAAATATCCAATTAAAATCGCTACTGAATATAATTTATTAGAACATATGTGATTTGCACTTGTATGAAACTCAAACACGTATTCCGAATATACAAACTAGAAACATGTGGACAAATATTATAAATATGAATACCTATAACTGTTACTTTATTACAAAAAATAAAGATGTGGTTTTTGGTTCTACTACACCAATGGTCAAGAGATGGCGCTGTAGTCTCCTGAATCGCGCTTTGGTTCCGTTATTCCAGATTAATAAATACTTTTGATAGGCCTTCACAATGCAGTCGTTAGCACCCACTAAATAGAGATTCTATTTTTTTTGTTGGTAGATTTTCTTAATGTGCGGTAAACACAAAAGTAACGCATGAAGTTGGTCGCTCTTCATTATGTTAAAATTTTGTGTTACAGAGATGCGCGCGCATCTTAAAATTTCACTCTCATCATTTTTTCATAACGCGCCTAAAGAATTATAACTTCAAAAAAAAAACTAGTTCTTATTTAGATTAAAAAAGAAAATGGCTTACCTTCTCTAGCTATTTTTTTTACATTTCAGGCACCATAGAGAAATCGATAATAGTGAAAAATGAGCCAGAACCAATTCTAGATGATAAAATCTTAGTAACTGCAAATCGAACAGAAAAGAATCTTACAGAGAAACTAGAAGAAAACGACACTGAAAATAAAATAACATGCGAACAGTTGAAAAAACCGGTCACACAATACGAAGTGCCTGACGATTTCAAATGTAACATATGTGAAGCGGTTATGCCTAACTTGTATACCTACCATACGCATATGAATCAACATTACCCAAATCATATCTGTGAAGCCTGCGGTAAAGGTTGGTTTTAAATATTGATTTTAAAAAGCTTCTGGTTAATATATTTCTTAGCTTATACGTATATATTTATATATATTATAAACACATCAATTAGCCTAGCCCCAAAGTAAGCACTGTAAGCAAGCACTTGATTTATGGGATATTAGGGTAATAGATAGAATACATATTTAGGCATATTTATATAGAAATACATATTAAACATCCATGACTGGAGTACAAATGCTCGTATTCATCACACAAACATCTGCCCCCAACGGGATTCGAACCCGGGACCTCTCGAGTAGGCGACACCACGGAGGTGGTAAATATGGCTATCTAACTTTGATTATTTACACACCTAAGTACCGTATTACTGCACGGACGGCACCCCAGAAAATATCTACTACATATGGTAGATACGCTCGTCGCTACACACGCACACATTTAGCTGCTTTGGGGCCATTTTTTTATTTTTATTTGGGAAACAAACAATATTTTATTACATGTAGATTAATTAAATATAGAAAATAACATACATCAACAAAGTTTCCACCAACAATTAGTACAGTTATGAGCAGCTTTGTATTTATAAAGAAAATCAAATAAAGTTATGTTTTTTTTTAAGCATTTAACTGCTAGATGTTAAAATCTAAAGAAAAGTTTTACTAGAAAATAAAATCCACGCGGACCAGGCAACGGACGGGGCTAGAACCCGCATCCTTCGCAATCAGGTTAGTGCATTCGCCCGGATTGCGAAGGATGCGGGTTCGAGTCCCGTCCGCTGCCTCGTCCGCGTGGACTTTTTTCTAGTAAAGCTTTTCTTCAAATAAAGTTATATAAAATACTAAACCAATTGAATTGAAATAAAATAGAAACAAAAAAAAATCAGAGAAATTTACACAAATCAAATTGACAAATAAATACATTTTAATAATTACAGTTCGTTCATTCAATTCCTTCATTTAAAAGCTTTTTGTATTCATTCATTTATTTTTTAAACATATCAATAATATTACATTTATTATTATACGAAATACAGCTGATATATTGCAGACGACAAATAGGTCAAATAATGAAAACTCGTTTTTATCCACAACCTCAACACCAAGAAGAAGTCTGCCGGATCTCTCTACCCGAGATGCCGATGATATGGAGGAACTGCGAAACTTAAATTCTGAATTGTCCATGAAACTTGAAATATCTAACAAAGAAATAGAAATATTACTAGAGAAAAATAATATTTTAGAGAAAAAATTGGCGGAAAATAATTCTATTATAAATAAGTTAAAACAAATCTGCATCAAACAACAGAACGGAGACGAATCACACCACAACAAGGGATCTGATAATTTACAGGAGATAAATGAGAAAACTTTAAAACACTGTTATGAGGATTATTCGGATAATTATAAACAATTAAATGGAAAAACAGATGTATATAACGAAAAAAAGTATGAAAATAATAATCTCTCTCTTCCCAATCCTAGAGAAAAATGCATACGAATATATGGATCACAGCAGATCGCCGGACTGGCTGCAGTGCTATCAAACTCAAGACAAAATACAAAATACGAAAAATATTCAATATTTTCTACTACTAAGCCAAATGCGGAAACTGATGAAATATTACAGATCAACAATATATCTTCTTCTGACATTTTTGTACTTTGTGTTGGTGAAAATGATAAAAATAGACTAAAATTCACCTCACAATTATATTGTACTTTAGATAAATTAAAAAATCATACAGTTTTTTTATTGAATATAACTAAGAATTTGTATTTAAATGAACAATGCATTAATAATGAAATTGAATTTATGTGCAAGTTTTTTCCCAAATCCTATTACTTGAAATATTATCAATCTTGTAATTTAAGTAATTTGAAATTCTATTGCAAAAATATTAATTATGTACTAGACTGTAAATACTATGAAAACTACTTTTTGAATTTTAAAACCCTGGCTAAGCGTTTACTCCTCAATGAGACAAAAAAAAATAAGATCTGTGATATGAGGGGCACTATACCATTTTACTTTCCACGGCTTACGACAGAGGTATCTTGTAACTCTGCTACAGCGAAGAAGGTCTTAAAAAGAACTATCACTGATTATTATCAAATCATAGGAAATAAAAGCACCGCTGCTCCTATTCTTGAACCTGCTAACAATAAATTTTTTTGAGACTAACGTTACAAACAAGCTTATAGTATTTCATCAAAACATAGCAGGCCTTCTAAGTAAAACTGAACAACTTGAGATGGCGTTGAAAGACGTTTCAGAGCTGGGCGGTGATGTAGATATTTTGTGTTTATCGGAAACTTTTGTCAAAGCTGGATGCGAGTCAAATATTGTTATTAATGGCTTTAAATTAGCGGCATGGTACTCTAGGAGGAATCAGAGACGTGGTGGCACTTGTGTTCTGTGTAGGAACTATGTTGAATACAATAAACTCTCTGTTTTGGATGATCTGAAGTGCGATTTTGATTTTGAGGCAAGTGGTATAGATATTCCAAAATATAAATGTATAATAATATGTATATATAGAGTTCCAAAATTGAATCCTTATAAATTTCTTTACAAATTGGAACAGTTAATGCAATTTCTACGTAAAAAAAGGAATAGGAAATTTATAATCACAGGAGATTTTAATATAAACTTATTACAGGATTCAGAGGCCTTGAACGAATATAAAAGAATAATTGAAAATTTTAATTTCACAATTCACATAAATGAACCCACTAGATTAAACGCATGCTTAGATCAAGTTATCAGCAATTTTAAAGACGCTATAGGAAAAAATCTGACTTTAGCACTATCGGATCACGAAAAAGCTCAATTACTTGTCATTCCACTTCTAGAAAAATATGTGCCACACAAAAAAATATTTCATAAGAAACGGGCTTTTACTAAAGAAAATGTAAAAAAATATGAATGTTGTCTAAAGCAATTGCCCTGGCATAACATTCACCAGATAACTGATACAAACGAAGCATTTAATCAATTTCATGAATATTTAGTTTTACTCTTTGATTTATGTTTCCTATATTATTTGAAAAAACAAAATTATTAACACAAACAAAAAGCTTGCATGGTTAACTAAGGGTATAAGAATTGCAAGCAAGACTAAACGTAAATTAAGGCTCAGATTTTATAAATCAAAAAGGGATATTGACAAACAAGAATATAAAAAATACAATAAACTTTTTAAGAACTGTATTGAAACTGCTAAGAGAATTTCTAACATAGCATTTATTAATAGTGCAGATAACATATGTAGAGCTTCGTGGAAAGTTATTAAAGACAACATTGTTTCGACTAATAATTCATTCCAACAAATAAGCCATATAACATTTGATGGTATTATCTATAAAAGCCCAAAGGACATATGCGAAATTCTAAATAAATATTTTATAAATTCATGTAACATTGACTTGACTAACATAAGATATGATAATTATATAAAACAAAATGACTCTAGTATGTATTTATTTCCAACTGATCCGGACGAAATTATAAAAATAATAAACAACCTTAAAAATACTAATTCAGTTGGTTTTGATAGTTTGTCTACTAAAGTAATCAAACAATGTAGACAAATAATAGCACCAACTCTTGCACACATCATAAACGTATCTTTTAAACAAGGTATCTTTCCTGAAAATTTAAAAATCACAAACATTAAGCCTATATACAAAAAAGGAGATAAGGATAATCCAGCGAATTACCGGCCCATAGCCTTAATATCGGTTCTGTCAAAGGTTTTTGAGAAATGCATGCATACAAGAATAATGAAATTTATAGGAAAATTTAATATAATTGACGCCAATCAATACGGCTTCCAAAAAGGAAAATCTCTACTACTTTAGCAACGTACAAGCTGGTAAATGAAGTTGTGAAGAATGTCGATAAGAAGGTTGAGACAGTTGCCATCCTTTTTGACTTAAAGAGGGCATTTGATTTAGTTTCGCACGAAATACTTTTAAGGAAATGTGAAGCATATGGTATACGTGGTGTGTGCCTTGATTGGATCAGAAGTTATTTAGAAAATAGAGCACAATATGTCACATCTCAGTATTTAAATTCTGATTCATTCGTAGAATCAGCTTGTTCTAATTTGGCATATAAAAACACAGGCGTCCCACAGGGGAGTATCCTGGGTCCTCTTTTCTTTTTACTCTTTTCGAATGATCTTACAAAAGTTACTGATTTCCCATGTATAACGTATGCAGATGACATATGTGTAATAATAAGTAATAAATCACATGACTCATTTAATAATGTAATAAATAATACAGTCTATGACATAATGAATTGGATAAATCAAAATAATTTAATAGTAAATAAGGACAAAACAAAATATATTCAGTTTATAAACAAAGGGGGTACTAAATGCAAGCTATCAATTTTATGTAATGACAAGATACTAAAAAAGGTTGACTGTGCTACTTTTTTGGGCATTGAAATTGACGATAAATGTTCTTGGAAACCCCACATCGATAACTTATGCAGTAAGCTAAATAAATTTTCATATGTACTATGGCGACTGTCGAAAGTTACTAATAGACAAACTGCTTTAAAGGCTTATTATGGGTATGTGGCTTCTAATATTAGGTACGGTATTTTAGTATGGGGCAATTCAGTCAAAGTACAAAGAGTTTTTATAGCACAAAAACAGTGTGTTAGAGCCATTATTGATGCTAGTCCCTGGTCCTCCTGTAAACCTATATTTATAGAACTTGGAATATTAACTGTGGCGTGTTTATATATTTTTGATATTTGCGTATTTGTGAAAACTAATATGAATCTCTTTACAACTAAAAAGACTGTATGTAATTTCATGACAAGATTTCCTAATAAGTTGGAATTACCTATTGCGAGAACTAATATTTACAAAAACAGTACGTATGTTATGTCTGTGAAAATATTTAATAACATACCAGAGGACATAAAAATGTTTCCACTAAGATTATTTAAGTCTCGGTTACGAAAATGGCTACAGGACAAATGCTTTTATTCAGTGGGAGAATTTTTAGCAAAAAAGCATATTTAATTTGTAATTATCTTTGGTACTTTACGCGATTTTCAATTTTATAAACATTGACTATTAAGTATAAGAAATGAACATTTGGATTTGATATGAATATGTAATATATTGTTTGAATGATTTTTTTTTTAATTAATAATATGATGTAGATTTATCAAGGACATAATTTTGAATTTTTTGAGGTTATTTGGATTGTTTTATTTTATATGTTTTCTGTATTGCATGCTGTGTGACAGTAAAATATGTGATACTTTATTTATACTGAATGTGTAAAATAACATCAAACACATATGTAACATCTTATGTACACCATATTTAATGCAAATAAAGACTTCTACTTCTACTTCTACAGGCTCGGTATAAAAATGTGTTATAAGTGCATATATTTTGTCTTAACAAAAGGTACGCTAAACAGCCATTCATTAATTACGCAAGGCGATTTCAAGGGGGATGGGGTCAACCATTTCTTAATTTTTCTTACAAGGGTGTGGGAGGGAGGGAAGTCTCGATAGTTCTTACGTAAGATTACAAAAATGCGCAAAGTTAAAATTATACTTTGAAAAAGCGCGGACAACCGCGTGAGTGCCGAGGTCAACGATATCTAATACCCTATATACAACAACACAAAATCGTGCCCGAAACCTGTCCAAAAGGTTAGTTATTTAAACACTGAAAGTCTACTTTATTGCATACGTTATAAGGTCTTGACGCATGCCTCAGAGAGCTATTACAAGAAGTGCTTGCGTCGTGTTCATGGGCGTACCCAGCTGCCCCGAAATCTCCGCATGGGTTGGGGTTTTTTCAAACATTCTGTTCGTTATTGTTAATTATATTCTATGTAAAACGGAGCGACCACAAGTCACACAAACTTGTCCACACTTCGGAGAAAACATGATTCCAGTTCATCCATACTAATTGACAAAACCGATAATCGTGTACCAATGTCGAAAGCGTGTTAGGTAAAAATCAATCAAGTGGCAGGGAGCGCACAATCACAACGAAGTAAGACGAGTCGACTATTTGCAACTGCATGTCCGTCAACCCCCGTAAACCGTTTTGAGGTGTCTCAGTAAGTGCAAGCGCAGGATGGTCGGCAGGCTTTGTCGTATATCTGGTTGTATAGTACGATATGGCATATTATGGTTACTAATAATGTAAAATGAAAGTGCTATACAATTAATTTATTTAGCTACTTAAATCTACCCATGTGTCATATCTTTTGACTACCAGGATATTTTTTTACGGTGTCATAATAAGAAAGGCTAGTTTTTCATAGATCTATCCATTCATACCAATTACATTGTTGGCGGAGCTGGGTGTGTTTTGCCCATTGTCCTTTGTAAGGAGCATTCTAATTTTAGTGTATTTCAGTACCAAAGCTATTCCAAAAGTCACTTTGGGCTAGTGCCCAGGGCCCCGCGATCGAAAGGGGCCCACTTCAGATCAAATACAAAGTCCCTAGTTCACCAAACGGGGTTCATAGGGGCCCCTTTATCCGAATGTGCCCAGGGCCTGCAATAGGTCAAAGAAGTTACTGGGGATAAACATAAGGGTTTTATGACGATATTAAATGTTTTCCCACCAGGTTTCTTGACTGAGAAGAGATTGAAACGGCACATGCCTTCGCACAAGACTGGCCCCTTCAAGTGCCAAGTGTGCGACGCTGAGTTTTCCAACTACAACACACTCAATTCACATAGGTAGGTAGGTACAATAAATATGTCAATTAATATCTTAGATTAAAACCCCTTCCACACGACACAATAGGGAAGATGCATATATAATATTTATGAAAATTTTATGATTAAAATGTTAAAAAAATATAAAAGAAATGCCACTGCAACGTTTTTATTTTACATAATGTTGTTTTTTAACAATTATTACGAATTAAAAATACTTGAAACGGAACGTATTTTAAAACACCAATCAGCTTTTAGTGACGTCACTCCTGTTATGACAACTTCTTTGAGGTTATTCTTCTTCTATTTCTTTATATTTATTGCGTTTTTTTACATTTAATAAAAATGGAAGTTGCGTTTATCAAAGCAGACTCCAGGAATTTACCAAGAGTTAGCGTTGACATGGTTATAACTTTGTTTGTCCAAAGTGCAGAGTTTTTAAGTGTAGAAATGAAAGGGACTAAATTACTACGGTATGCAAAAATCGTAGTTGTTAAACTTCGTATTTTATTCAGCGGCTTTTACAAATCTTACAGCGATAATGCAATCGGCTATGTCCAAATTAAAAGAGATGGAAAATTATGTACAGTAAAAGGTCGAGTTCTTCGGAGCATAAAGTACGTAAAGTAGGTTATCGTATTACAGTTATTTTAAATGAAACGCAAAGCTTGGTTCAGTTCTGCCAATGTGAAGATTGTGCCACACATTTTAAACTATATCTAATTTTCGACGTCATTCTCCAACTGTAAAATTAAAAATATGTTATAGACAGGTTTTGTAAGTATTAGGTAGGTTACTAATGCGTTTTTACGTACAAGCAGATTAATTAAGCACATAACAAGTATATTCGCCGACTTACGTCAAAGTGATCTTCTCAGCATCGAATAATGGTCTTTGGAGAATAATTGTCATTTCTCTTCGCAGCTTGAAACCACTTTTTTTTCAGTTTTGGGTCAGAAGTTCCAGTCAAAAACAATTTATTTGGGAACTTTGTTGAAGTAGATTGGCACAAAACATGAGTCAACACGGCTTTTTTTCGGAATATTAGTGGTATTGTTATGATCACATGATGTTGATGGATAGTCCAATTAAAATTTTACAAAAAAATATTTCGAAAGTTGAAAAAATATGCAAAAGTATGAAAATTTAAAACCACCAACGAACAATTACGACCAGTGACAGACAGGAGTGACGTCATCGCAACCATAGGTTCGTTTTCGCGCGAAAATTTAAATTGTCAATTTAAAACCGCATTTTTTCCGATAAATCACAATGTTTTAATTTTTTAACATATCTGTGGTTTATTCTACATGGAATTCTTTAAAATGAAAACAAAAATAAAAATATTGCATCTTCCCTATTTGATTGCCAATCTGATTGCCGATTAAATTGGGTACAATCGGGTCGTCCGTCTACACATACACAACAAGATCGCAAAGGAGAATGGGCAAATCCGCCTAGATTGCGCTTGACGCATTTATGTATCAAAAATCTTCTTCTGAATTATCATTTCATATGTGTGTTTATTATGTAAATATTATGCGGATATTTAAAATAATAAATAAATGGCTATTAAACTGAGTAAATAACCAATAACCATAGATAAAAGTTGTATCACCTGGTCGATACTATCGTAGGAAAAAAAATCGATTATATTTCTTTATTTAAATATTCTTAACATAAAAAAACGAGTGTGCTTATGACTAGACAACTGAAGTGAAACTTCTTTCATTTACTAGCTGTAAGAGAAAAAGAGAAAGAAAATGCGTGCGCGCGCTCTTGCTCCTACACTGTGATACAGACAATAGGCTTGCACTGTGCTTAGATATACGGAACGTATTTGGCTATGAGAGGAAGAGAGAAAGAAAATGTGCACGCGCACTGCTTTCTCATGCTTACATCCCCCACTCAACTCCCGTTCGCTTCGCCCGATCACACTTTTCTTAACGCTTACGTTCGCTAGCTTACTCCCCAAGTCAAGAGTGCGTAAAGAAGTTTCACTTCAAAAAGAAAAAATAAAACGTTTATTATAATTGAAAGCATAGAACAATTAATAGCCTGAAACATTTTTACCAAACACCGTAAATGACTACGAAATAATGATCATTCGTTAATTCGTAGTCATTTTTTATTTTGAGGTTTTCGATGCGAGTTGTTTGATTTTTGTATGGATCGATGGATAGATTATTTTCCCCAAATCGCCTATTCAGAGGGCCTGGTTTCGAATTCCGGTGAGGCAAATGTTTGTATGATGGATACGAGCATTTTTACCAATATTATATCATGATAAATAACATTAAATTCATAAAGTTATCATTTGTAAGACCTGTGTTGTGACTATCTCACTGTACCTACCAGGGATTGCTCTCTTTCATTGCATCTAAAAACTAAAAGGAACTTAATGGGCTGCGCAAAAGAGGATTTTTTGCCTGCGGACTATTTTGTTCATCAAACAGTAGATCGCATACTAAAACTTTTATATGTGTACTACATATTCACATCTTAGATTAAAAAAGGGAATATATTTTTGTTTAAATTATCAGTTATGTTATATATAATTACTTAATCATATATAAATTAACTCATGGTTTGAACATTTTAAGCATTTGCATTGAAAATAAAACATTTATTAATCGATTGTGTAGGAATCGATTCCTATATCAAATCGAAATATATACCATAGGCAAGTGAAGTAGGTAGCTGTCAACTTGTTGTCAACGTGTTTGTTGTTTGTTCCGAGTGACTAACTACTTAAGTACAGTTTTCAATTTTGAATTGAATTTGTGTTTTCAGTGGTCTATTGTGGCAGAATAGTTTTAATGTTGAGTTGAGTAATCTTCCGTTAATAACTTTTTTTTGGGAAAGAGAGCATTGGACTCGTTGATTTAGTGTTAAGTTACCTTTAGTGATTCTGACAGAGATATTTGGACTCTTAGTTTATTGTAATTATTTTTGTTTACAATGGCATCTGGTGTTACACAAGAAAACGCAGGCAGTATGCAACGACGTTGTATTAACTGTTGTATATCAGTGCCACGACGACAGCCAGTACATTCTTTGGACATGCTATCCAATTCAATGCTTAATGTTTTAAGCTCATGGATCGCACCTGATTCTGTAAGTAATTATTTACTTATATTACTAAAAATATATCGTTATACAATCGCAACCGTGAGATAATGTTTTAATTTCATTCACATGTTCAAATAAATATAAATATTTTTGACTTGTTATAGATATTGAATGGGGGCATAGTGTGCAACGAATGCTTTATGCTACTACAAGCTAGTGACACCACAGAAGAAGTACCTGCACCACAATATGGCCATCAACAAGTCTGTTTTGGTTGTGGAAAATCCATATTAAGAAGTCAATCGTACAGGGTTTCACTACACTGTCCAGAAAGATGATATTCTTAGATGGACTCCAGCACATCAGGTATGGTATAAGATATTATTATCAATAATAAATTATTAAAATTGATTTCAATGCTAATTAAAACATGACTGTGACATTATTATTATTTTTGCATTGCATGATTGAAATGTTATATTAATAATAATTTATTTAAATTGATTTCAATACTAACTGAAACATGACTGACATTTTTTTTACATTGCACAATTGTCATGTAGTATATTAATGAAATTGATTATATAATAACTAACTCAATCATGACTATGGTATATAAATAATATATATACTTTTTAAAGATTGAGTTCTGGATAATACTGCAACTACCTATAAATATTTGCACGTCGATAAAAGCGACAGGTCATGTTGGTTATATTTTTGAGATCTGTATAATTTACCATATCTTGTCAGATAAATGATTTATTATTATTATTATAAGAAATATATTTCTATTGCATAAAATAGTTGTAGATGGTTTTTCATTAAATTCAAGTTCACTTATCTTTTTTTTATAGGTGTCAAGAATTTCAAGAGTTTGTGCTGCCTGTTGGCGAGCAGCTAATAGAAGACAGAGATGAATCGGTCATCAATTGAACAAATTGATGTAGAACCAACAGAGTCTGTACCAGTGATCCCAGTACCACCACCATTTCCCGCTGGTCTATTACCTGTTCAGCCTTCAAGACCTGTTATACCTAAGATACAGTCATCAGTATATAAGCGTGCTGTAGCCACTTCATTGAGTTGTCTGTTTTCAGGATGCCGGGAACAACAATGTTTATTAGTACCCAGAGTAATAAGAGAAATGTTATTAATACATAATAAATTCTATGTTCCCACATGTTGTAGAATATGTCAACATCACTTGAATAATGGGCGTTGGAGTGATTTAACATCAAATCTGCAAGATTTTACTGGTGTACAGTTTGATGCAATTTTGAATATAATGCAGAGAGCAGTTTCCCATTGTTTCGACTTTGAAAATATTTCTGCAATGGCTCCTTTCTTATGCCATTATTGGCTGGGAATGAATGCTGAACAGTTTGATGAACTCTTGGCATGTGTACCAAGCTTATTACAGAGTGTCAAAAATCCCCGTTTAGCACTCTGTATTTACATAGTCAAGTTAAGAACTGGGGACAGCAATGAACGATTAAGTTCCCTCTTTCAAATGTCTCGTAGGACCTTGGAGAGAAAAATGAATATAGCTAGAAGTTGTTTAGTTGAAGATTTTGTGTCAAGACATTTGGGCTTTGGTCATGTAAATGTGGAGCAAGTGGCCAGCAGAAATAAAATAATCCCGGAGGGATTGTTTGGTAATCCAATCTTACCAAATGATATTAAACCCGCTATTGTTATGTGTGACGCAACTTATATATATGTCCAGATTTGTTCTTTTTTAAAAAAAGGCAATATATAAACCAGGATTAGAGCACGCTTAATGTATAAACTGCTGTGTTAATTGAACTTAGCAGAGCTTTAACTGGATATTTCAAACTCAACAGGACATGGTGGCGAGTTACAAAAGATATTTTAGGCGAAGTCACTACAGTTCCACTGGATACGGCATAACCTCAAAAATATATAATAAAAATATCGATTTGGAT